TGTATCAAGTCGGGATTTCGATACAGTCGGCATTTCAAATGTCGGGATTTCATTAGACCGTCTTTCGGTTGTAGGGCTTGCAATATAGACCTATAAATTTTATATAACTTATTTAATTTAAATCCAACAACTAATAATCTGTAATTGATTGTCTTTGTATTCTTCAGGTTTTAAATCAATTATTAGTAATCAAATGCATTGATTCTCGGAAAAACAAAACACCATCAATTTGCATTATCACTATACACGAAAACCGTTTGTAATTACAAATAATTGGTATTTTTAGTTAATTCGTTAATTGCTTTAATTGCAAAACTATCAAAATCTCGACAAGCGCACTGTTTCAAAATCCCGACTATATCGAAAATGTCTACAATAACATTTTTAGATTATTCCGGAACGTAGTGACTTTTAAATTGTTTATTAATAATAAATAATAACAATTAATAATCTAATTGTATTTGAGATTATTTCATTATATTAAAGTTTATTATGAATAATTCAACAAAATCAAATAAATTAATAATAATTTATTATTATTAATAATAAAAGTGTAGCACAAGCTGACTACGCTTCGAAATAATTTCAAAATGTTATTGTAAAAATTTTCGATATAATCAAGTCGGGATTTTGATATAGTCGGGATTTCAATAGACGGTCTTTCGGTTGTCGGGATTGCAATCTAGGCCTATAAATGTTATATAACTTATTTAATTTAAATCCAACAACTAATAATCTGTAATTGATTGTCTTTATATTCTTCAGGTTTTAAAGTAATTATTAGTAATCAAATGCATTGATTCTCGGAAAAACAAAACACCATCAATTTGCATTCTCACCGTACACGAAAACCGTTTGTAATTACAAATAATTGGCATTTTTAGTTAATTCGTTAATTGCTTTAATTGCAAAACTGTCAAAATCTCGACAAGCGCACTGTATCAAAATCCCGACTATATCGAAAATGTCTACAAATAACATTTTTAATTTATTCCAGAGCGTAGTGACTTTTAAATTGTTATTAATAATAAATAATAACAATCAATAATCTAATTGTATTTGAGATTACTTCATAATGTTACGGTTTATTGTGAATAATTCAACAAAATCAAGTAAATTAATAATAATTTATTGTTATTAATAATAAAAGTGTAGCACAAGCTGACTACGCTTCGAAATAATTTCAAAATGTTATTGTAAAAATGTTCAATATAATCAGGACTGTATCAAGTCGGGATTTTGATACAGTCTGCATTTCAAACGTCGGGATTTCAATAGACGGTCTTTCGGTTGTCGGGCTTGCAATATAGACCCATAAATTTTATATAACTTATTTAATTTAAATCCAACAACTAATAATCTGTAATTGATTGTCTTTGTATTCTTCAGGTTTTAAAGCAATTATTAGTAATCAAATGCATTGATTCTCGGAAAAACAAAACACCATCAATTTGCATTCTCACTATACACGAAAACCGTTTGTAATTACATATAATTGGTATTTTTAGTTAATTGATTAATTTTTTTAATTGCAAAACTGTCAAAATCTCGACAAGCGCACTGTATCAAAATCCCGACTATATCGAAAATGTCTACAATAACATTTTTAAATTGTTATTAATAATAAATAAAAACAATTAATAATCTAATTTCATTATGTTAAGGTTTATTATGAATAATTCAACAAAATTAAGTAAATTAATAAAATTAATTTATTGTTATTAATAATAAAAGTGTAACACAAGCTGACTACGCTTCGAAATAATTTCAAAATGTTATTGTAAAAATTTTCGATATAATCGGGACTGTATCAAGTCGGCATTTCAAACGTCGGGATTTCAATAGACGGTCTTTCGGTTGTCGGGCTTGCAATCTAGATCTATAAATTTTATATAACTTATTTAATTTAAATCCAACAACTAATAATCTGTAATTGATTGTCTTTATATTCTTCAGGTTTTAAAGTAATTATTAGTAATCAAATGCATTGATTCTCGGAAAAACAAAACACCATCAATTTGCATTCTCACCGTACACGAAAACTCTTTGTAATTACAAATAATTGGTATTTTTAGTTAATTGATTAATTGCTTGAATTCGCTTGTCCTATTAATAGATTATTAATATTAATATTCGCAGAACATGCAAAACTGTCATCTCATTCTTATAACAGCTTATTATATATTTATAATATATTTATAGCAATTCGCAACATGAGACAACGCAAATAATATTTCTAAATTACTATTACGATGCAGATTGCATTTGGTACTGTGGGTCAGATCAACGATACCGCTGCAAAAACAAAAATGGCAAATGCATAAAACATTTGACACACTTCATAATTTTAATCAAATGCGAACTCGCTAATTGCTAATTGGCATGTGCAATTCGCTGCGTATGAAAATTGAGACATTCGTATTGCCACTTCGATGACGAAGTGATTACAAAATCGATTAATTTCAAGAAAATATAAGTATTTTCATTTACTCTTTGCATAATAACAATTTATTGTATTGTTTTCTTAATAACTTAATAATTTTGAATCCAATTTAATTTCCTCATATTTGACCTCGTCTTATCATCTAATTGTAAACATAAAATGTTTTGGTTGATGTAGGCTTCAATTAAAATCTGCTCAATCTGTTCGCTGCAAGTTTTACTATTTTGTTTTTAAATATGTTTATAATCAATACGAGTTTACCTTTGCAACGTCCTCTCAGATCGATACTATTTACATAATGCGATAATAAACTAATTTAAAGAAAAAAAATACGTCGAGTATGCCATTTGCATGCGTACTGCAACTCCTTGAAAATGTTCATAAATATTATCGCGTTTGTGGAAATATTGAAGTGATGCAAACGCGATAATTACCTCTATTAACGTAGTTATATTTATAAATAACAAAAGCACAATTGTTGCATGAAAAATTGAATGACACTGACATATTTTTAGCAAAAATAAATTTTAATTAATTAAAGTTCTGAAGTTATCTAAAGTTTCTTCATTCTATGTATTAAAAATCAATAAAATTACCAACAGAAACTGACGCAAGGTTGAAAAGTGAAATTGAAACAATAAAAAGCACAATAAACCTAGTTGTTCTTTACGCACGACATGCATTTCTACGTACTAAATAATATATGTACAGGGTGACCCAATTGAACTGCAACTTTTCAGAACGCTGTATTTTTTTTATTTGAAATTGAATTTCATTGAACCAAAAGCAAAGAATGTTGGAAAACAATTAAATTTTTTGAATTCATTTCAAATTTTCGAAATGGCCGCCTTGAGCTGCGCCCTATTGCTCTGAGTTGGTCGACAAGCCGACAAGTTGGTCACACGCTGCACGAATGTGAACCTGCGGAATCTTCCTCCATTCACGAAGAAGGAATTTATTGAACACATATTAAAATATTACTTATAACTTTATTTCCAAAAAAACTGAGATGCAAATGCTTCCGCAGACTTGTAAACAATAAAATCAGCTTTCATTAGGCGAAATATGGACACAATATTGCCAACGGTTCAAAAGTTATACCAGTTTTAAGTTGGTTGCAGTTCAATTGGGCCACCCTGTATTTCGTGAATTCACACTCCAAAATCATCGAAATCCAACTGAGAATAACAATATATTTAATGGTAATTACGTGATCTCACGTAAACGTCTTTAATACGCGGAAGTGATTAATGACGTTCGCGGCATTGTTTGATAGCTATAATTAAGAAATAAATAAGGAGTTCCAATTGACGTCACAAGCGAATAAGATGATTTGTGAAATCCAATTTTATCGCTAATTATTTATTTATAACTTTTTTATTACGTAATTTTGTTAACTAATACATCAAAAACATGTTGATTTTACAACTGTAGATTTTTACATTGGTTACCAATTGACACATTTTGTTTTCTTTCGATCGTTGCCAATGTAAATGTTTCCGTCGCTATGGTGAAAGCTGTAATTAAAAAAAAAATAAAACATCCGAACAGCGATCTTCTCAAGTGACACTTGAAAACTAGAGAGAAGGAAGAAAATCTATATAACTAATCGTAAATTTAGTTGAATTAGTTATGGATAATCTCAATACTTGGCACATCTCCAAACAGACAAAAACGCTATTTCAGTTTTTCCGTTTCATGTTTAACTTAACGCAATATAGTTGAATGCAAGAGGAAATAATATGAACGTAATGGTTTATTCTTGGAGAATGTTTTACTTTGAAAGTTGTGTTCTCATTTTAAAACTAGAAAAGAAAAACACAAATTTTATATTAATTTGTACACAAAATTTGACTTTTTGTTTGCTATAAGTCTGCAAAAGTCATTAATTAAATCAGCATCCAAAATTATGTAAAAAAAAATGTCCTTGTAGAATACGAAATTTCCTATTTCTGTTTATCGATCTTTTCGGATCAAAAACTCGAATCTATCGAGGATAAATACGTATTTATGCATAAGCGTGATGGGAATATTTTATATGTTTTACGAAACAACAACTTGTTTTCTATTGCGTTCTGCGACAATTAAATGATTAGAAATGCTTTAGAAAATAATAATTTATTAGTAACAATACTTAACAATTATACACGTGTAGGGGAGAGAACGTCCTCTATTTATCTACAATATTTATATAAAAATTATAACCCCGATGAAGATATGTATTTATCTTTTTTTAACTTTTTTTTGTGTTTCGCTCTGGAAGAATAAAAGTAACTAATTATTTAAAAAAAATGTACATAGAATAACAAAATATAATGTATGTAAATGAACAACCTTACGGACCAATAAATACAGTATAAAATTTGCCTGGAGTATTGTTTAGGAGACTAGCAAATTAATTAATTTGGGAACGAACGATCAGAGGTTACAAAAATCACGATTAAAGCGTTGTTCCGTGTTTAAATTGCATATATATATGGTGTGTGTGTTTGTGTAAATATATATCTAAATAGAAGAGTTAAACAAGCATTAACTAGGAGACAAAAAAAAATGGAAGAAAGAAAGTGTGAAGGATTGATGGAAATGCGCGCTTTTCTTGTGTCGTTTCTTCATCGCCTGAACATTCCCAAGTATCCTTTGCAGTTGGGGCAGCTGTGGTGGACGTCCATGCACTTGCTGATGCAGCACGGGATCAGGCAACAGCCGAAAGGACACCTGTGCACAGAAGAAGCAGAAAAACGAGCATTACGAAGAGAGACCTCGCGAATCGAAGAATAGAAAGTCGTTGCGCAACTGTCTGTATGTACACACATACATGTGTATATACATATTTTTTCTTTTTTTTTGAGCAAGATGTAATAGAAAGTCGCGCGACTCGTCTATTTTGTTTCTTTGTTTTGTGCTTGGTTATATACCCGATAAGGCAGATGAGAAATCCTGCGATGTACGCTATCAGCCCTGGCTTCTTGTCGATGGTGGTGTCTATTTCGGCCAGACAATGCGGACAGATCATGTGCGTGTGCTCCGGGCCCAAAGGAACTACGGTCGTCATTATCGTCGGTCCATTCTTCGCTGCATTGTTTATTTAACATTTAATTTATTTGTAAAGGAAAGGTTAATTGATTTCGATTGAATCATCGGTTGCGCAATGCTTACATGTCTGTATGGGGGTGTACGGGCTAGATGGGGCCACCCCGCCGACGGCCTGAGCGTAACTAGGTGGCGCCTGAGCTGGCTGACCACCTGGTGGAAGTCCGTACTGTCTCTTGTCCATCCTGATAACAGCAATTGAAACAAATTAACTTCTTTCCTTTCCTCGAACTCGACTTTTCGCGCTTCTCCTCGATCCACCTGCTTCGAACTAATGCACCCACGAAAAACGATCACCAAAAGAACATGTGCACCAGTACTATTACTACAACAGTTCGCAACAGCGCGCACCTATTCACACCAGCTTCAACCTTCTATTTTCGTGCGACACTGACCATTACGTCAACACTCTTCGAGCGCACCGAGACTTTTATGTGAAAGGAAAGCAGCCGATCGCTTTGCGCGCCTCTCCTCGCAAAGAGGCACCACGCTTCGATAACCCTATGAACTTTTCACACAAACACACACACAGAGTTTTCCAAAGAAATACAAATTGCATAGCACATCATCCATCCAAAAATAAATCCATCCGCATCATTGAATTTAAAAATTTGAAAACATCAAGGAGGCGTCGCCAAGGCTGCGCCATCTCTCGACGAACAATCTCAAATCGACGCGTCACCTTGGTTCCGATTATAATGAGCGTCAAAGTAAATAAACGTTACTGTAATTATAGAATCAGACTGGACTGGACCTTCGCTCCTATAGTCAAGTGAGGAAAAATAAACTATGATCCAATTGGAGATCGGACGAACAGTTTCCAAGCGAAAAGGAAGCAGCAGCTTTATTATCGTTTTCCCAATTTAAATTTGATTGACGGACAACAACAACATTTGCGCAATCAAAATTTTCCAAATTTTACATAATACAGTTAATTTTTATTATAATCAATACAATTTTGCAACAATTCAATTTACTATAACATTTTGATAAACAAAGTAAACTTAACTATGAATTTCAGTTAACAAATATTTTGTTCATTAACAACATAACAATTCATTAAAACAAAAATTGAATTTATTCCTATAATTATTAAATTACAGAAATAATTACGATCAAATAAAACAATTTAAAAAAACAATCATTGCACATGATAATTTAAAATCATACAGTAAAAAATAAACTATGATCCAATTGGAGATCGGACCAACAGTTTCCAAGCGAAAAGGAAGCAGCAGCTTTATTATCGTTTTCCCAATTTAAATTTGATTGACGGACAACAACAACATTTGCGCAATCAAAATTTTCCAAATTTTACATAATACAGTTAATTTTTATTATAATCAATACAATTTTGCAACAATTCAATTTACTATAACATTTTGATTGATAAACAAAGTAAACTTAACTATGAATTTCAGTTAACAAATATGTTGTTCATTAACAACATAACAATTTATTAAAACAAAAAATTGAATTTATTGCTTTAATTATAAAATTACAGAAATAATTACGATCAAATAAAACAATTTAAAAAAAAACAATCATTGCTCATGATAATTTAAAATCATACAGTAAATGTTTTAGTGACTGCAAAAAACGCATCATTAAATTAATTACTGCCATGTGCTGATGATTGCCTCTTTTGAAAAGTTTGAAGAGACGCAACACGCGAAAAGCTGGATCTTCTACGAAATGAGTTTGGGTTCGTTCTATATTTTTGTATTGAAAGTGTATCTCTCTATTTTCGTCGTTTGCTGTAAAACATGGCGCCGCGTGCAATTGTTTTGTAGATCAAGGCCGTTCGAAAGTGAGCCACGGCATTTTCGTGTTTCATTTGTAAACAGAGAATCGCGTCACTTGACGAACGAAAAGGCGCTGGGAAAACCTGCACTGGGAATTTAAAAAAGAAAAACGTGCAGAAAAGAAGCCCTGTTTGTTTTTCTAACTATGTACTTTGCACTTTGTTAATTAATTAATTACAGCTTTGCTTAAATAATAATAAATTTAATAAGACGAATCTATCAACGTGTGCTGTCATTATAAAACAATTAATGACAGTCGCAAATTAAATATATTATTGAATGAGTGTGTAGTTTGTTTGTTTGTTGATTTCAAAGATTGTGACTTTAATTAATGAAGCGAACTCTATTTTTGTAATGACGATCACGCCTAGTTCACATCCTCTTTGAATATGCATATTAAAAACATATTACCGAGCACGCATGAATTATTCCTATTATATACACTAGGTCCTCTTTTTTATGCGTACTCTTTTTATGCGGTTTTGAAGTTATGTTTTATTTCAAGAAGCATTTTTTTTAAATAACTATTTTAGGCCATTTTGACACGTTTCGACACAAATTAGCAAACCATTTCATCGAAAAAGATGATAATTCTGAACGAGCATTCAAGTTTCAACGCGAGCTTCAGAATTGCATTTCTGGATATCAGGAATTGTACAAAAAAATAGCAAAGCCATCGCAAAGTTTAATCACTAATTATATTGTCAAAGGGAAAAAATCAACAGGCGAAGTTGAAACTAATTTTACTTGTGAAGAATCATCATCTTCAGGACATAGATATGATATGCTGACTATCTTTTCTAGTGATGAAAGTGATTTCGAACCAGTTCGCAAATTATGCCGAACACTCTCATATAGTGACGATAGTTCTAACGAAAAAAATGTGAAGAAAGATTAACTTTCATAAAAATTTTCATTTTTTTTTTTGTAAAATTTTTCCGT